TGATGACTGAATGATCAGGGCTGATGTGTACAGGTTGCAGTTGATGCACTGCACAATTTGCCCTTGGCCAAGAGTGAGTGATGAGTGAAATGGGCAGACACTCTGTTCTCCAAGTTATATGCAAAGCTGTGTTATTCAGAGGAGAAGGCACTATTTTCTTCTTCCAACCGCATGGCTATGCTCAGAGAGACGACCTTTCACTAATTTATATAAAGACCCTATGTAGATTAACAGCAAGGGACTTGACTGCAAATTAGCCTCAGAAATGCAGCTGCTCAGTCTTAAACTAGGTGCTGTAAATTCTACAGGCTGTAGAAGGCACAGCCATCCCCAAAGCATGGCAAATTCGAGTGACAGCTCCTTGATTCAGGAATGATCCATTACCTGGCTTCTCTTTGTTCTCTTCTTTTTTTTAAGGACTGACATAGCTCCTTGGTCAAAGAAATGGGGCATTGTTTTTAACTAAGCTCTCTATTATAAGCAGTACAAAGGGTAGCTGCCCATTGCAGTGCAGATATCCCATCCTTTAGGAAGGCTTCCCTGATCTTCCAAGTCTGGGCCAGGTGCTCCCCCTATGGTTCCTATGGTAGCAATCTTTATATTCCATTCTATAGCACATGACACTGTACTGTAATTGGCTATTTGCATTTCTACCTGCCAAAGTGTAATTGTTACCCACTGTATTTTGAATGCTTAGCACAGTTTTGGGACATGGCAAGAGTCAGGTCTGGGAGGTAGAGGAAGAACAGAAGCGAAAAACCTGCAGTGGAATATCATTTTTAGATATCAGTTCTTTTCAGTGTAGATACCAATCTGTGTATAAAACCAGACAGAAAGCCATCCAGGAACAGATATTTATCCTAGAAGGCGTCCCCTGAGTGCTCCTAGTTACAGACACATCCTAAGACATTTGATGAACTCAGCAAATCCAGTCTCCCTCTGGATCAATTTTCATAAACAATCCAGGTAATTTCTGGGAGGAAAGAGACCAAGCACTGTTCCCTAAAATTGGAAGTTAGAGACACCTGCCAGTGTAGCTCCAACAAAGGCCCTTTGCAGGAAAAGTTTGTCAAGAGTATAGATAAAAAAATCACCTCGGGGGCGGGGTGGGGGGGTACCTGGGTGGCCCAACTGGTTAAGTGTCTGCCTTTGGCTCAGGTAATGATCCCAAATTCTGGGTTCGAGCCCAGCATCGGGCTCCCTGCTTGGCGGGGAGTCTGCTTCTCCCTTTGCCTGCAACTCCCCCTGCTTGCGCTCTCTCTCTCTTTTTTTACTTGTTTTTTTTTATTTTACTTGTTTATTTGAGAGAGAGAGGCAGGGAGCCTGACACAGGACTTGATCCCAAGACCTTGGGATCATGACCTGAGCTGAAAGCAGACACTCAACCAACTGAGCCACCCAGGTGCCCCAGTAAATAAAATCTTAAAAAAAAAATCACCTCGAAGAAATGGGAAGTCTAGCCTCTAAGCCCTGACGTAGACACCCCGCTCTCAGAATTCCCATAGCCTTTCTAGTCACCATCCTCTCAAAAAATGGAGCAGAGAAAGAGAGATGGGGAAAGTGGAAAGAAGGAAGAAGCTGCAGTAGACAAAAGTAGCCACTTTTTGTCTTCCAGGCTCTGTACTAGATCATCTTAGATCTTAACCCTATAGAGTGGCTACTGTTATCCCTGTTTTCTAGATGAGCAAACTAAAGCTCAGAGAGGTTAAGAAACATGGACAGGGGCACAAAAGGAGCAAGTTTAGATTCCCCCATATCTTCCTGCCTTCCACCCCGTTTCAGCTACTTAATACGGCCTCAGTTGACAGCCTCCATGTCCGTCACACAACCCTCCCCCACCCCCCATCCAAGAAGCTGATGGATAATGTATCCAGTGGGATTCAAATCTTATACAGACTTTTCTTAATCTTGTATCTGTCACAGGCTGGTTTTGTAACCCCAGGCAAAGTAGTTTATATCCCAGAAGCTCAGTGATCTGATCTCTAAAGGAAGAAAAATATTTACTTCTGCAAGTATTTGAGGGACTTAAATGTGTTTCTGAAAGAGAAAAAGGCAGGTATTCAATAGGTACTCAAAAAAAAAAAAAATGCCATCAGCCCTATCAAGGGCAAATCTGCCGAGGAGGAAGTTTGTTTTATTCATTCTCCTTTAAGCTTTCCTGCCCTTCCGCCCACACCCCTGCTGTCTCCTCTGTTCCCCCAGGGATCATCTGGGGTCTCATTTACCAATGACCTTGTTCTGTGCAAACTGTCATAATCCCAGATAATGTGTTAGCTCAGGGGGACTCAAATAATACCACCTCAGCCTGCAGTAATTCAGGAAGGCCCTTGTCCTTGAAAGGAATCTTGGGTTACACATGACAGGCCAGGAAAACAGCAGTCATTTGGCTGAGTTTGGATAAAAATGACAGCAAATGTGGCTCTAGAGTCACATAACTGCTCAACTGTCAGCAAAGGATTTCTGTGTTTTACTAGGTGACATGAGGAAGTATTTAAGAGCCAAAGGGCACACACCCCAAGGAGCCTTTTGTGGGCTGGGGCTTGACCCAGTGCCCCGTAAGTCACACCACTGAGATCATGACCTGAGCCAAAGGCAGCCGCTTAACTGACTGAGCCACCTAGGCGACCCTGTTCAGTCCATTCTTGACAGCCCTGGCTGATTCAGAAAATCAAGACACTCATGGAAGGCCCCAAGTGTTCTTTGAAATCCTCAGCTGGACCGTTAGCAGCAGGAAAAGGGACAAAGGGCTCCTCCCATCAATCCTGAAGCCTGGGACCTGCCCAAAATTGTTCCAGGAATTCTGATGGGTTCCAAGAAATCCTTCCCAGGGAATGACTGAGAGGCCTCACCAATGTGGCTCCTGTCCTTTCAAAGGGACCCCCAGGAGGTCAGGGCTGCAGTGGAGATTCAGGTCTATCCTGGCACGGGGCTCTCCAGGCAGAAGGACGAGATGCCTAGTGTTGAGTGAGTATATTGTACATCAGGGATAAACCTTGAAAACATTTTGCTAGGTGAAAGAAGCCCCTCACAAAGCACCACACACATATTGTATGCCTCCATTTAAATGAAATATCAACAACAAGTAGATTAGTGGTTGCCAGGAGATGCGGTGGGGGGGGGTCAGATTGGGGAGAAATGGGAAGTTTCTGCTAATAAGTATGGAATTTCTTCTTGGAATGATAAAAATGTTCTAAAATTGCTTGCAAGTGCTGATGGCTACACAACTCCGTGAATATACTCGGTGAATATAAAAACCATGGTATTGTATACTTGCGTGGTATAGGAATTATATCTCAATAAAGCTGTTTAAAAAAATATCCTGAAGTCTACTTACAGTAACCAAGTTATTAGGGCCAGATTCAGAGGAAATCCATCTAAGTTGCTCTTTTGAAACAAGCAAAAACCCAGATGCTATCCTTTCATTCACTCACTTACTCATTTACTCCTTCCAAACGTCCCTGTGAGTTCTCTGTGTGCAGAACTGGACCACCTTATCAGAAACAGAACACCAATTTTCCTAATTGCACCCAGCTTAAGCCTGTTTGCTTAAGGATTTGAACACAGACCTCTTCATCCCACGCTGCAATTAGGAAGTGCCCTCCTTGGCCCTTTGTTGGGGAGGAGCCCCTAAGTCTTAAAGGGAAATTCCAGGAAAACTTGTTTGCATTTCTGCTCCCCACAGAGCCACCAAATTCTTACCCCATACTTCTTTGTTCCTCCCTCTCCTATCCCCTTCAGCTGCTACCCAGCAGACTCTCCAAAACTTCCAAAAGGGAGTCCAAACCTTCTGGAGGGAAGGGGGCTTGGGTAGCAGCTCCAGAAGCATTTTTCAGGGGGAAATCCTGGCCCCTGTGAGAGCTGCACGCAAGCTCCATTTGGACATTTCTCCTAAAGACAAGTCCCAAGCCTGTACCTAAGTAGAAGGGGTGACCTCCAGTCAACCCTGAGCTCCTGTGCCAGAGGGCAGGCTTCACGCAGAGGACCCAAGAACCCAGTGCCCAAATCGGAGAGCCTGTGGTCCAGGACTCGCAGGCGGCGTCCAGGCGCTCGCCAAGGACAGAGGCCACTCCTGTGGCTCCACACTGGCTCCTCTTGGCCTTTCCCTAACCCTGTCTTGCCTGGGCGCACTGCATGCCAAAGCCCAGCTCCGCCGGCTGCATCTCCGCCAGGCGCTGCGTGCGGAAACAGGAGGCTCGAAGCAGGAAGGGGGTGCCAAGGGATAAAACCGGAGGAGATTAGGGGTGGAAAAGCCAGGGCAGAGAGGACCCTCCAACACCACAGCCCGCTCGTGCATCTCAAAACCGCAACCTCCTGCGTCCAGACACCAAAGCAAAACACGCGAAGCATCCGGGTTTCCTGGAGCAGAGACACATAAGAGCTGTTACTGCCAACGTCCTCCATCAATGAGCTCGGTCGGCTTGCTCCTCTTTGCGTCTAGCGCCTGACCCCAGCGCTGATCTGTGGCCGTACCAAGGGGGGGCTGGGTGAATTTTGTCTCCCATGACCTCCACCGACTGCTCTTCCAAGCGCCCCCAAATACAATCTAAATAAAAATAGCGTGCTATTTATATTCAACTCTCCAAGACAAGTTCCTGAGCCCCCTTTCTCACCAGATTGTCGCCTCTACTAAGCCCCTTCTACTTGGAAATGCTGGAATCGCCAGTCTCGAAGCCAAACCCACGTCTTCACGCCGCGCGCTCACAGCACCCAAGTACAGGGCAAAGTTCCCGGGAGCAACACAAGGCATTGTCGCTGTCTTTGCATTCGCAACACGTAGCACCTCCAAACTCCCTGCCCAGCGACCCCCGCGAGGAGGCATCTGGGTGCACCGTCCCAGCCCAGCCCAGAGGTCCCCGGACCATCCTGGGCGCGCGCGTGGAGAAGGTCCATCATGGAATTGCATTGCTTCTGCAGGTGACTCGCCCTCTCCACTTTTCCTTCCTAACGAATAGATTTTTCATAGCCGACCCGAAGTAGGGCAGAGAAAGACTGGAACTGACCTGTGCAGGGGAATGTTCTAGCCCAAGATGGGGACCTCTCGACGCCTAGGTAGGATCCAAGTTCGCCGCAAGTTGGTTCTTGGCGGCGCACGGCTCTCGCTTGCTTCCCGCGTTGTGCCCCCTGTTAATTAGCCTCTTCTCTCCCTCTCCCTCTCTTTCATCCTCTCCCACTCCAGCTCCCACTCTGTGCAGCCCGGAGCTGCGTCCTCTCCAGCGCTTCCCTCCTGCCAGGCGCCCAGGATCAGATAAGAAGAAAGGAAGGCCAGCGGGCGGCCAATTATAGAGCGGAAGGTGGCCGCGGAGGCGGAGGTTGGGGAGGTGGGAGGCAGGCCTAAGTCTCATACGCCCCCCCACCTATCTCCTCCTCCTTTCCCCACCCCCGCCGCACAAGAGGTCCTCCGAGGAGCCCGCCCCCGCGCCGCCCCCGCGCGTCCCCAAACCTGGCGGCCGCCCCAGGTGCGCGCCGCAGTCGGGTGTCTTGAGCCCAGAAAGAGCCGCCTTTCCCCTTCACTCCGACAGCGGTTCGTGTGGGGCCCCTGAGTCAGGCCCTGCGGTCGCTTGGCGAGGTGTGGCGCCCTCCAGGACTCAGGTACTGGGTGCCCACTTCCCCGTTCCCAAGACACGACTTGCCTTCCCGCGTCAAGGACCTCGCGCTTGGGAGCGCGCACGCACTGCGAAGGGGTACCCTGCCTCCCCTCTTCTCGCTTCCTTGTCCGAACGAGGGCTGCAAAACGCCAGAGCAGCGATGCTCAAAATTTAATGTGCAGGAGAATCATTTGAGGGTGTTGAACTAGATATTTTTGTGGGCTTATAAGGACGAATGTTGGCAGTGGCCAGGGCTTGGACTTTCTGAAACAGGATCTTTGCGACTGATTCCCACTCGCAAAGATCCTGTTTCAGCAGGTCTGGGCTGAGGCCAAGGACTCTGCATTTATCAAACACCCCGGTGGTTCTGATCCATGCCGGCCACCTTACGGGAGTCTTTACCTGAAATGTGAAGCACACGAGGTGCGCCAGACCTCGCGCCCGGTCTCGAGAAACCAGGGCTGCGCTGTCACCCTCTGGGCCCCTTTAGAAAGTCATCGTCCTTAACCCTCCTCGGCGGCGTTCTTTACAATCCAGCTTTTGTGCGCACAAATGTTGGGGAGGGAGTTACAGAAACGACAAATTTAGCAACAACTCATTTTTGCAAGAAAATGCTTTCTCACGTTGGAAAACGGCTAAAGGCCGGTAATGGACAGAAGAGAAAGGGCAAGGGGTCCTCTTAACAGGCTTCCCACATCCCCAGCTGAGAATACAGAGAAAAGGGCTTTTGAAAGCTTTTAAGGGGGTCCATTAGACTTTCTAACCGTCCCAACCACTGTTAGCCACCAACTCCGCCTTCCCCGATGTTGCGTGCAGATTCATCTACTTGGAAACGCTGGCAACTTCCCGGGGGCCCTGCGGTTGGAGTGCAAAGGTCCCGCTCCAGCCCCCGCCGATGCTCTGCCTCCGCTGGTCCTTTTTCAAATTGGCCTCAGCTCGGCCCCAGGGCGCGGCCAAGCTCGGCGCCCTTTTGCAACTGCGCTTCACAGAACAAAATTTTCTGGGGTCGGGCAGCCAGCGCGATTTTTTTTTTTTTTTAAAGATTTTATTTATTTATTTATTTGAGAGAGAGAGAATGAGAGACAGAGAGCATGAGAGGGAGGAGGGTCAAAGGGAGAAGCAGACCCCCTGCCGAGCAGGGAGCCCGATGCGAGACTCGATTCCGGGACTCCAGGATCACGACCTGAGCCGAAGGCAGTCGCTTAACCAACTGAGCCACCCAGGCGCCCCATCGCGATTTTTAAGGGGACAGGCTTGGGAATCCAAGCGCTCGGGGGACTACTGCAAGGGTGCGAGCGCCACCTGGTGTCCTCGCCTGGAGGCTTGGGAGAGGGCGGGAACTGGAAAGCTCGCCATCCACCTAGATTGAAGTGCAGAGACCAGGATTCCTGAAATGCGGGATTTATTCCTGGAGACAACCACCGCTTCGGTTGTTCCTCGTCCCACCTCCCCATGCAAGTGCCCACTTCCATCGTACTCTGTTCCCCCTTTTCACTAATAAAATCTCTTTTTTAAAGTGTAAGTAGAGCTGATACACAGTGTTACATTATTTTCATGTGTACAACATAGTAATTTGACACATGTGTATGTATGCCGTGCTCACCACGAGTGTAGCTACCATCTGTCACCATGCAGCCCTGTTACAATACCACTGACTACATTCCCTATGCTGGACCTTCTATCCCTGGGACGTATTTGTTCCCTAACTGGAAGCCGGTACCTCCTACTCCCCTTCACCCATTTTGCCCACCCCTCTACTCCCTCCCTTGTGGCAACCACCGATTTGTTCTCTGTATTTGTGGGTCTGTTTCCGCTGTGTTTGTTTGTCTTTAATTCCACATATAAGTGAAATCATATGGCATTTGTCTTTCTCTGTCTGACTTATTTCATTTAGCATAATATCCTCTAGGTCTATCCATATTGTCACAATAGCAAGATCTCATTCTTTTTAAGGCTGAGTAATATTCTGGTGTGTGTGTGTGTGTGTGTGTGTATGCCACCTCCTTTATCCATTCGTCTATTGATGGACACCTAGTTTGCTTCTGTATCTTGGCTATTGTAAATAATGCTGCAATACACATAGGGGTGCACATATCTTTTTGAATTAGTGTTTTCCTTTTCCTTGGGTAAATACCCAGTGGTGGAATTACTGGATTGCATGGAATTTCTATTTTTTTTTTTTTTTAAATCTACTCACGTCTTTCGTTTTTACCAAGATGTAGATGACCAGTGTAAGCTCAGCTTTTTCTGTAATTCCTCTGGGGAAGGTAGTGGCATATTCCTGCAAAGTTCTAGGCAGAGGGGGAGAAGTATTTATGATGAAACTATAGAAAATTAGAAATGAAGAATTCCCAGATGATTTTTAAATGTGAAATGTGTGCCCAAAAATCTATATACAGCAAAGAGAAAAGCATAGTATTTGGTAAAAACCCTATACAATAATGTATATTGATTTTGTAACCACACAAAATGTTATTTCTTAAAATTCTAGCTCATCCTTCCTTCATCTTAACTTTTGACTTCTGGCATTTCACTTTCAATGTAAATAAACTTCAGTTAGTGTTGAATTAGAATGGCTGGTTTTAATCAGTTGTCCATTATTTTGCAGTTGTGTGTAAATTCCCAGCCCCTTCAAGGGAGTGTTTATTCAACATTTATCTTAAGGTCAGCCTTCAGAGTCTGGTAGAGTACTGAGAACTGAATCATAGAAATGCCTGGAAGACTCCATTAATGGTCTCCTCCCCCCCCATCTAGAAAAAAATTGTATCTGAATGAACATATGAACGTCTGGAGCCTTCTCAAAGATATCCAAAAATGTCCGCTTCCCACAATCATTGATTTCAGGACTCAGCAACTCTTATTAGACTCTCCTCTGAGTTTGACATGACTGTAATCTTGTTTCTCTCGAAGGACCCCCCACACGCACTGTTTCCCTTCTCCAGTCAATCCCGTGGAACCTTACAAGAAGACTATAGATACAAACTTGAATTGAAGGCACTGTGTCTCTTGCTTGTGTCACTTTGGTGAAGTTATTTTCTCCTCTGAGCCTAACTCTTTATGTATAAGAAGGGAGTTATTAACTGTATCTCAGGGGATGGTTTTGTGGATTAAATGACAGATGTGTTTATGGACCTAATCCATCATGATGATAAATGGTAGCTGTATCACCCAAATTAGGACTGTCCCTCTTCTGCCCATTGCATATGGTAGTACTCTCTTTAGCAGCCCCTTCCAGAAAATTCTCCTTGCAATGTTTCTTAACAGAGGTGCTATGGGCATTTTGGGTAGGACAGCATGACTGCCCCAGACATTGTAGGATATTTATTATTTCTGATTCCATCACCAATTTCCAGGAGCACTCTCCCCTTCTCCTAGTCACTGTGAAAACCAAAAATACCACTCTCCATTTCCTCATACACTCTGTAGAAAACCACAGTTTCCAGCTTCATGAGTTATTTGCAGTTCTTCTCCAACCCCTCTGTAACAGCCAGCTATGATTTTTCCTCAGCCTAGCATCCATTCCCCCTTCTTTTGTTAACACAGTGCTCATACTCAGCCAGTATGAGCCCCTGCTCCCATGTTCCCCCCTTCCATGCTGACATCCCATCCTTGCTCCTGAGACTCCCAATGTTTGTCATGATCTTGCAACAGCACAGTTGGTAACAGAGTTAACCCCCAGCACGGCAGGGAAATTTCAGGACCCTGCCCCATCGTCAAGGGCTAATGTACCTTCTAACTGATGCCATACCAGCTGTTAAATACTTTGTATCTCACCCTAGAGTACCAGGGCTCTGAGTTCTTCTTGGGAAATTGCTTCTACCCTATTGTATGTAGCTGTGGTGGGTTGTCACTCAGAGTTCTCTCTTCTCCCTTAGCCAAGGGTGGGTCTAAACTCTAAAGTAGGCCAACCAGATACTCTATCCCTCAAATGGGAGTAAAAAGTGGTGGGATACAAAGGCAGAAAAAAGTGTTCATTCAATTTTTATCTCAAATCATCCTAGCAATAAGGCCCGAGGTAACAATAAATAGACCCAGACATAGGTCTAACATCCAGCAGAAACTCACCAATACAGCTGTAGCTGTTGTTGAAATACTGAAATATTTCCATAGCAAGTGGTCAATAATCGTCTCCCCACATGCCTGAATGTCCTCTTCACCATCCCCTTCCTGGGGCCACTATCCCAGATCTCCCTTTGATCCAACAACTGTAGAATTAACCCTCGTGCCATTGTCTGAATGTTTACATCTCCCCAAAATTCATATGTTGAAATCCTAGCCCCCAAAGGTGGTGGTATTAGGAGATGGGGCCTTTAAAACTTGTTTAAATCATGAGGCTAGAACCCTCAGGAAGGGGATCCGTGCTATTATAAAAGATGCTCTAGAGAGATCCCTCGCCTTTTCCACCAGGTGAGAATACAACGAGAAGTCTGGGATCCAGAAGAGGCTCCTCACCTGGCCATGCTGTCACCCTGAGCTCAGACTTCCAGCCTCCAGAACTGTGAGCAACACATTTCTGTTGTTTATAAGTTGCCCAGCCTATGGCATTTATAAGCTGCCCAGCTGCCCCAAAGGAACGGACTAAGACAGCCTATATCGGCTGAGGGCTTCTAGTGTAGCTAATGTCAGCCCCTCAGATCGGGCTGCGCCTCTGCCATATTGTTGTTCCATTTTTT